AAAAAAAAAAAAATCTTCCTGACCCCAAACTTTGAATGGTAGTTGTACGTATCAACCACACAAACGTATATACACAAAATGTGCTTCTGGGACGAAATACACATTTTAAAAGAATTAACCATTTGTTTTTCATTCTAAAAAAACAATTAATCTAGAAATAAAATTCAGCCATGAATTTACTCATTTCCACCAGCGAGGCCGTGATGTTTGGAGTTGTCGTGAAAAGCTCTGTTGATCCCGAGGAACGCTCATGACATGCTGCTGTCCGTGATTACCATACCACAGCAGTGCCATTGTAGATCTTTACTGCAATTTGCATTCCTTCCTGATAAAGTGATGATCGCTGGACAGAGAGAAGCTGGCCTCAAAGGAAGTGACCTCAGGGCCTGATGGCATCTCCTGATTAGAGGGAAACTTGCTGCATAATGTTTTAATTCACATCTGTGTGCCCTCTCTTTACACTGCCAATTTCTCTCTTCCTGTTCTCTCGCTCTCTGCATCCTTCCCTCAAGTATCTCCTCAATCCTCCACTTATTCTCTCTCACTGTTCCTCTGTCTACATACTTCAAGCCCCTTTTTTAATCTTTCCTCATCCCTCCCTTCCTCTGTTTCTTTATCTCTCGCCCTCTTTCTCTCTTCCCTCACTTTGTAGTGCTCCTGGCATCCTTATCATGAATCGCTCATGTCTTTGTGATGAAAGGAACTGCCTTCATTTCCACAGGAATGCGCCCCTCTCAGTGTCCATATGGAAACACTTGCCAGACAGATTGGTTCTGTTTTTTACTCTTCCCTAGAGCATCAGACATGACTGATCGCGCTGTACATGTCCAGAATAGAGCGATATTAGGGGGACACGATAAGAAAAGAGAAGACACTTTTAACAAAATAACATAAAATAACAGTACACACCCCTGCTAAAGAAACATCCTAAATCAGACTAAGATGGTTTGCTGGTTTTCTCTGGTTTCCCAGCCTGGTCTTCTGCCCATTTTTAGAGGGGTTTTAATAAAATTAAAATGACATTTTATGCAAGACATAAAAATAGAAAAAAATACAGATGATAAACCAGAAAATATAACCAAACAATAATGTGGGGTACTTATAAATAAAAATGAAAAGAATTTTCTGCTGACATGGACCTTCTGCCTGTAATTCAGTCAGGACTTGAATGAAGATTAAAAAAAAATCAAGATGTTTGATGTTTACATAAAATCCCAGCAGTGCTTTCAAGCCTGGGCGATATTTAAATACTTTTTCATTTGAGTATTTATGAACATGGAATTTCAAGCCGTTTCAGCAGTATCCAGATTTCAAACAGGGAGAACACCTAACTACTGTGCTAAGGTACCCCAACGGAAGGGTTCCATAAAAGTGGTGCGGTATGGTTCGCTAATTTAGTACCATTCACAAATTCTGACAATGGAAATGGAAATAATTGCATACAGTACTGTACTTAACCATACCGCTTGGAAACGAGGCTTAAGCTACTGGTTTAAATATGAAGATTTTTTTTTTTAAATGCAGTGAGCCAAACATTTTTTTGAAAAAGAATATCACCCTTCAAGAACAATTTACATGATTTACTCATCCTTATGTATGTCACACTTTAAATTCTACAAGAACTGTGCGCTATTCGTGCGCTAAAAGTTAATCCACTAGAACAATTTTTTGGTTTTTGGCAATTTCTTGGTAAATTTTAATAAAATTTGCTTACACTCTGGAAGGGCATTCCTTCTGATGACGTCAGTTTGACGACTTGGGCAGAATATCCTTAACCACTCCCTTTCAACGGTTAGTTTGCTGTGAGCGAGAAGGAGGAACGCTAAAATAAAAACCCGGCCCTCTATTCAACATTTCTTTTCAGTTGGAAATGCGTCAAAATACTGAAGTTGGCAGCAACTTCTGGTTTATGCAGACTTTAATGTACTCAGCCTTATGTCACACACAGAAGGGACAGGGATTGTCAAGCTCTAAAATGACAAAAAAAGCATAATATATGATATGATGCAAGCACTTTATTCCAAACCTTATGAAGCCACTTGATAGCTTTGTGTGAAGAACAGACTGACATTTACAGGGAAAAGCT